CAGTTTTTGCAAACCATTCCACCCATTTTTGAGAGTTGTTAGCTCTTGGAGGGCAGAACCCCAGGCTTGTCTGTCTCTTGTCTTCCCACGTGAAGTGAGGCGCACAAGGAGAACCCCCATGGTGATGAGCAGAGGCTGGAGCAGTGCGCCTACAAGCCTCAGAGCACCACGCGCGGCTGGCAACACCAGGAGCTGGAAGCGGTGAGAAAGGATTTTCCACCCAGAGTCTCAGAGAAGCATAGCCCTGCTGACACCTTGGTCTCAACTCCTGGCTTCTGCAACTGAGAGAGGATACATTTCTGTTGTTTTAAGACATGTTCTATGACACGCTCCTGGCATATGACAGGTGCTAACAGGCACTCGCTAGACACATTCTCAAATAATTATAATGCTTAGAACAAGACAATAGAATTGGTAAACAATGCCAAATATGACTATCTATAGGGGAAAAAGGAAAAATCAAAGTGGGGAAGAGGGAAAAAAGGGAATTAAAAGTTACTAAAGTGGCCTTACTCTTAGTTCTGACTCCCTCCAACCACTATGGGCGCATCTATGCAAAGATTCCAGTGCATTCTGTCTGATTCTGCTCTAGCGGGAAAGGCCTGCAGACCTTCTTCTGTTCCCAAAACACTCTTCTGACTTCCAAGTTCCTTCTGACCTCCAAGTTCCTCTGTAGTCGTCAACCTTCCCAACCCATGTTCTTTTTTGTCTTAAAAACCATTCGGAAGAATCCAGTTCTCACCCACTCTGGGTACGCAGCCATTCCAGTAATCCATTGCCATCCATCATGTGGGATCTGATCATCTCAGGGTACAAGCAATATTTTCCCCAATAACTGTGTAGTAAACTTTCTCCATGGAGGTGGGCCGTTATCTCAGGAAACTCGCCAACTGGGCTGTAATTGCAGAGGCTTTCGTTAGAAATTAAGGGCTTACCATCTCAAAGTGTGGGCCCGGGGCTGGGGATGTGGGACTGGGGAGGAGGGGGATCTATCCTAAGTGTCAGGCAGAGGACTTCCCTTGGCTAATATCCGGGGAAGATCATCTTATTTGATAGACCGCATGCTGATTGCTTCTATTCCAAACCAGAAAAAGCATAATGCAAATCTTTTGAGGAAGGCGGAAGATGCTGTTTTCATCTTTAAGTACCTCCTGTGTGATACCTGCTTGCACTAGCTAATGGCTCTATGTACCGAGCCCTGTGCTAGGCTATGCCAGGGACACAGGAAGAGAGTCCACAGTCCTCTTCTAGAGCTGCCTACATCTTCAAAAGGGCAAGAGACATTTTTTCAAGGCAAATTCTTTGGTTCAGTTCCCATGGATGGATTTGATCAAAAGAGGTTGGTTTCCCTAGATAATTCATACAAAAATTGTGGGGCTTTTCTTGGTAGATGTTAATCAGTGGCCTCTTGAGTGAATGGTCAGTTTTGTCTGCAGTTAATTAAAAACTAGCAAACTCTGGTTATGGGATGGAAAGAACATCTGCTGAATGAAGATACTCTAAAGATGAAAGTTAGAAAAACCCTAGGACCCCAGGTAAGTTATTGAAAATATGAAGAATTTAACGAGAAGTAGTCCATTTGGAAACTTTTGATGTTGATAGCTTTGTTCATGTGCCAAATAATCATCTTTTCAGGCAACACTGTGAGAAATCAGACAAATGAAGTAAAGTGGATGAAAGCGATATGTACATTCTTGAGGACCGTTCTCAAAATGAAATGTATTTAAAGCAAACAGGATCTCAGTTACTGGGAGCTGGTCTGGTGGGATGTGGCCAAACAGAATTCCAATGAACCCAAGAGGTCTTCTTTATGTTTGACTATTGTGTTGCTTTTGTCTGCTTTAATGAAATCTCCATGGAAGCTGGGATGACTCTCCATCCTCCACGGACATTCTTCTAAAAGAATCACATTGTCATATTTTCTTGAATCTTCTCTAGCTTTCCCTTAAAGTAATACCACATCCAAGCTGGAAGATTCGTTGGGGACCGTGATCAGTAATTGAATCCCCCTGGTCAGTAATTCAGATATTCCTAATTATCGAATTATCAAATCTTAAAAATTAACTACATTGCCAGCGAGAATATCTCAGAACAACACTGACTGTCTTCCCAGGCCCAACCAATCCCTTTGACAAACTGATTGCCTCCGGGAAAGTCATGCCTTGAGTTAAATGAACAAAACAGGTTAAGAACAGGCCGAGCCTGGTGGCTCACACCTGTAATCCCAGCACTTTGGGAGGCCGAGGCGGGTGGATCATGAGGTCAGGAGTTCGAGATCAGCCTGGCCAACATGGTGAAACCCCATTTCTACTAAAAACACAAAAATTAGCTGGGCATGATGGTGCACACCTGTAATCCCAGTTACTTGGGAGGCTGAGGCAGGAGAATCGTTTGAACCTGGGAGGTGGAGGTTGCAGTGAGCTGAGATTGTGCCATTGCACTCCAGCCTGGGTGACAAGAGCGAAACTCTGTCTCAAAAAAAAAAAAAAAAATTAATAGAAGCAGCTAGCACAGGGGCTATCGAATAACATGATCCTCCTTTTTCCCTCCTCCTCTCCTTCTTCCCCCTTTCTCCTTTTCTTTCTCTCCCTTCCTTTTTCTCTTTTCATAAACATTCCATCCAGAACCCAGTCTAGACAGGTTGCCCCGGTGTCACTACAGAATCTTCCTTCTCCATCGCCCCCTTGCCTTGCTCCTGTGTTGTACTTCCTTTTGCACGTGTGCGTGTGTGTGTGTGCGTGTGTGCATTGTACTTTCTATTCCCTGTATCTTGACTTCTACCTTTTAAGTTTACTCATTTGTTTCAGTGCAGCATCTACTCCAGAATTTTTCTAAGAAACGGGGATGGGAGGTATGGGTGCAAGAGTGACCTTATTTTAACACCTGGCAAACCCCAAATCTGAGAATGGCTACAAAATGTCGAGTTGACGTGTTATTTTTTATTTTTTATTTTTTTTTCCTGAGACAGAGTCTGGCTCTGCCACCCAGGCTGGAGTGCCGTGGCGCGATCTCGGCTCACTGCAACATCTGCCTGCCAGATTCAAGCAATTCTCCTGCCTCAGCCTCCCAAGTAGCTAGGATTACAGGTGTGTACCACCACACCTGGCTAATTTTTGTATTTTTAGTAGAGACGGGGTTTCACTATGTTGGCCAAGCTGGTCTCGAACTCCTGACTTCAGGTGATGTGCCCACCTCAGCCTCCCAAAGTGCTGGAATTACAGGTGTGAGATAATACGTTTGGCTGTTGTGTTACTCTTTATGTAAGAACATCCATTCATTGTTAAGTTTCCTCCAAAACAACTCTTGGTTTCGTTGTAGAAATCATACACTGTGATGCCCGAAGCACCTACATTTCCCCCGAGGTCTACTTTTGCCCTGGCTCTGGGGGGTTGCAATGCGGAGATCTACCCGTTTTGCACTGCCCATGACCAGGCTTCTGTCTGTTAGTTCCCCTAATAAATCACCCCAAACTGACAAACTGGATTTGTCTGCCCGCTCCTTTGGTTTCTTGGCTCCTTCTGCATTTTGGGGATGCTTTGCACTTACAGCCCTCCCTATGGAACAGGAGGTAAGATATTTTAGATATTATAAGTCCTAAAACATCACTGACTGCCTAGGTGTAAAAGTCTTTGACTGATTTTTATTCAGTATTTGAGGGCCTTGCTCCAATAACTGCAAGTTCTTCCCTCCACTGCTTCAGACCCAGTCCTGTGTTCTGGGATCCCTGGCCCTTTGATTCTTGTCTCTTTTGGGGTGCAAGGAAAAGGTACCCACTAAGCTAATTCAAATAAAGGGGCATATCTGCATGGGATGGGGAGGTAGGAGGGTTCCTGAAGATAGCCAGGAAAATTGAGGCAGGAGAATAGGGTCTAGAGGCAGGGAACCTAGGCCATTTCACGCTGACTTCTTGGAACTAGACTGAAAGGAAAACCCTAACTTTCCATGCCTAAGTAACAAAAGGACCAGGGGCTACTCCCTTTGCAAACCCCCACCTTTTTTGTGCCCCACAGATGGGAAATTGAAAGTACTTCTGATTAGTTGCTTTTTGCAACCAATCAGATGTTTGAAGAAGAGAGCAACTTTGTAACTTCACTTCAGCCTCCTATTGGTTGCGGGCCACCTCTTCATTGACATGGGGTGAGCATGAATGTGGCCAATGGGAAAGCTCTAAGGGGTATTTAGACCTGAGTAGTTTCTGTATCCAGAGCCCTTGAGCCACTGCTCCGACCCACTCCCCTCCTGTGGAGTGTACTTTCCTTTTCAATAAATCCCTGCTTTTGTTGATTCATTCTTTCCTTGCTTTGTTTGTACGTTTTGTCCAATTCTTTGTTCAAAATGCCAAGAACCTGGACACCCTCCACCAGTAACAAAATTGTATTAAAAATCCAAGAGCAGAGCTGAGAAACACTGAAGTGGCCCAGGACTGGCGGCCACTCTCCCAGCATCTCTGACTGTCCTCTCTGGGCCCCTGGCTTTCACCTCCCGCAGCCCCCACTGGATGCTCCAGCGTGTGCCCATGCCCAGCCACCCCACATACTGCCCTGCACCCTCCTGGGCCCTCTTGCTCTGGCTCTACCTCTTATCTTTCTTCCCTTCAAACTCACTAATCTAATTTTCAATTTGTCAAACAGATTCCCAATAAAAAACTCTTTCTGAGTCAGACGAGACAACTCCTCTGTTGCTGGCAGCCTCATCCATGGGCTGTCCTGAGTCCAGCTCCAGTATTTGGTCCAGGCTGCTCTGGCAGGGACCCAGCCATGAATGGATGCAAAGGAACGTGGTTTTCACCTGCATTCTCTGATTTCAGATGAAGCTAAGCTTCTCTTCTTGTTTGGTGGTCTCTGGCGTGTCTTCTTCTATGAATTACGTATCTAAATACCCCTTAGAGCTTTCCCATTGGCCACATTCATGCTCACCCCATGTCAACGAAGAGGTGGCCCGCAACCAATCAGAGGCTGAAGTGAAGTTACAAAGTTGCTCTCTTCTTCAAACATCTGATTGGTTGCAAAAAGCAACTAATCAGAAGTACTTTATCTTATCCCTTTTTCCAATTTCTGTCTTTTTCTTCTTGATTTGCAGGAGTTCCTTGAATTTTCTAGGCACTCATCCCTTGTCAGCTTTGGATATTCCAAGTATGTTCTACCATTCTGTCCTCTGTCTACAGGGATACGCCAGACACACTGTGGTTCAGCCCAGACTACTGCAGTAAGGCAAATACTGCAATAAAGTGAGTCACACGGACAATTAATAACCCTGCAATGGCCTGTAAGTGTTCAAGTGAAAAGGAGAGTCGCAGGCCTCTGACTTTAAATCAAAAGGTAGAAGTAATTAAGCTAAGTGAGGGAGGCATGCTGAAAGCTGAGATAGGCCCCAAGCTAGGCGACTTGAGCCAAACAGTTACCAAATTGTGAGTGCAAAGAAAACGTTCTTGGCCAGGCACGGTGGCTCGCGCCTGTAATCCCAGCACTTTGAGAGGCCGAGGCGGGCGGATCACTTGAGGTCAGGAGTTCAAGACCAGCCTGGCCAGCATGGTGAAACTCCATCTCTACTAACAACACAAAAATTAGCCAGGCACGGTGGTGTGCACCTCTAATCCCAGCTGCTTGGGAGGCTGAGGCAGGAGAATCGCTTGAACCTGGGAGGCAGAGGTTGCAGTGAGCCGAGATCATACCACTGCCCTCCAGCCTGGGTGACAGAATGAGACTGTCTCAAAAACAAAAACAAAAACAAACAATTGAGTCAAGTTTTCAAAGTCCTTAACAGGATGGTTGAAATTCTGATGGGAAATGTGAATAGCATAAAAGCATTCTAAGCGGGGAAATGATAGGCGTAGAGGTCGGAAAAATGAGTAAGTCAGGGTCAAGGCACGTGACCCATTTTTGCTGAAGCTAAAGGTATCGAGGTATCTTAACATTACCAATGTCCTTCTCTTTTCACAGTTTAACAAAGTTAAGATCAAGGCATCAGTTATACTTTTCTTGTGTAAGAGCACATAAGACAACCTATATCCTTTACTCATGCCAAGAAAACTACCCGCTTTGCCCACTCTGCTCTTGATGCGCTGTTTAAAAAGCAGTTTCCCTTTCATATCAACACACTTGCTTCCTCTCGACTTCCTGTAATACTTGCTAACTTTCACTTCTGGTTTGCTTTGACTCCCTATTTTGGAAGCCGTTTCGTTTTCAAGTAAAGTAAACATGAACAACTCTAAAATACAACTTATACCTCTGTATCTTAGTCAAAACAATACAAACACCCTAGCACTTTTCTTCTCTAATTCAACTAGATGTTCACTACTAGATGGCAGACTAGGCCCATTGATTTTTGCATTACTTAGCTCCCTCTCTTAAGAATAAAAGGAGAGAGAGAAGCTGGGGCCAGTGGCTCACACCTATAATCCCAGCACTTTGGGAGGCTAAGGTGGGTGGATCACTTGAGGTCAGGAGTTCGAGATCAGACTGGCCGACATGGTAAAACCCCATCTCTGCTAAAAATACAAAAATTAGCTGCACATGGTGGCACATGCCTGTAATCCAGCTACTTGGGATGCTGAGGCATGAGAATTGCTTGAACCTGGGAAGCAGAAGTTGCAGTGAGCCGAGATCATGTCACTGAACTCCAGCCTGGTAGACAGAGCAAGACTCCATCTCAAAAACAAACACACACACACACACACACACACACAACAGGGAGAAATAAAAGCCAAGTGCCCAGGTCAAGTCAGGCTCTGGTCAAACCAGGGCAAGACAGACAGCTGCCCAGGGAGCTCAGGGGAAATCCCCAGCTCCCGCAGGGCTGAGCAGAGAGACCAGCTGGAGAATCCACTTCGTTTTCCCTCTTCTTGTCTTCCACCCGGCCCTTATTTCCATTTCTGCTTTGTTTCCAGGCAGGTGCACACTCCACCTTTTCTCGTTGATGTGATGGTCCCCACTCCTCTGTCATGCCAGATTTAGGTCAGCTGTTCTGAGCACACGGCAAAGCAGCTTTAGACTCCTGCACTGTCGAAAAACACTCGCTGAGCCTTAGTAATTGCAAGGAAAATGAATGAACGCTATCAAATCCTCCACTGCTATTTTCTCACACTGAAGTCTATTTTTCTTAGGTATCTAGATACCTTGAATTTCCATTTCTCTCACTCCCTTCATTTTATTATTTTTCCTTATTTATACATTAACATTAAATATACTCTTTTGAATAATGACTTTCATAATTAAAAACTTTAAATGGCTTATTCCTTCTTTCTTGGAATTATTTTTATTTATTTATTTATTTTGAGATGGAGTCTTGCTCTGTTGCCCAGGCTGGAGTGCAGGGGTGCGATCTTTGCTCCCCACAACCTCTGCATCCCAAGTTCAAGCGATTCTCGTGCCTCAGCGTCCCAAGTAGCTGGATTACAGGCATGTGCCACCGTGTCCAGCTAATTTTTGTATTTTTAGTAGAGATGGGGTTTTGCCATGTTGGCCAGGCTGGTCTCGAACTCCTGACCTCAGGTGATCTGCCTGCCTCGGCTCCCAAAGTGCTGGGATTACAGGCATGAGCCACCGCACCCAGCCTCTTCCTTCTAATTTTCGTTCTCAGCTCTCAGCAACCTGGCTTAGAGGCTTCACTAGGAAGATGTGTCCTCCTCCATCCCAGCATTCTGCAGGTGAGTCTTTCACCATCTTTATAGCCCAGTGGTCAAATAGCAGCTCTGGGGGCAGACAGGGGAGGCTGCGTCAGTTTCACTTCTGCTCTGCAGTTCGTCATCTGTGTGGCCTTGGTTAGAGTCCAGGACCTCTCTGATTTCCTGTAAACCAGGCTTGCTAATGCTGCCCCCATAAGATTGTTGTCATTTTAAAACAGGAAAATTCATGCAATTCATGTAACCTGCTGCTTGGCACATGGCGACGTCTCGATTGATGGCGGCTACTGCTCCTTCCACCTGGCTGCCCACTAGGGGGACACAAGACAGGAAAGGAAAGAGCTCTGCTGATGGTCGGAAGGTAACACGGTACCATCCTCTGTGAGCAGTAAAGCCGAAGAAGCCAAACCTAATGAGCTCGCACTCCACTTTCAGGATATTTAGAAAAGTTCCCATGGAGAGACAAGGAGGCAAGACCAAGCATGTTCATTACAGCATTGTTTGTTACGAGGAAAAATGGAAATAACCTAAATGTCCCAGAATAAGAGAACTAGTAAATATACTGTGATATTTATACAGCCAATAGCATACAGAAGAGGAAAATGAATGAAACAGAAACACAAGGAAAAACTTCAGAAGTATAATATTGAGGGAAAGAAACCGATTGCAGAATAACACGTGCAGGGTGATAGTAACCTCTTATTAAGTTTCAAACACATAAAACAGCAGTGTGGATTGTATCGGCACACATACATGTAGAGAAGTATAAACATATATATGGGAGTAATACAGATACATTCAGAACCATGATTACTTTAGGGAGAGGATATATTTAGGGACCCTCGACTGTATCTATTTTACTTTTTTAAAGGATCTGAAGTAAATGTGGGACAAAATGTTAAGATCTGATAAAGCTGGTTTGTGGGTGCATGGGTATTTTTACATTATTCTCCATATACATTTAAAAAGTCTGTAATATTCCATAATAAAAACAACTAATTAAAGGTCTTACACGTTGAAACTCATAGTACTCATATAAATTAATTCCTTATAACCTGTAATATTCTTCATTGTAGCTATTAAAAATGATTGGTTTTGGCGGGGGGGCTGTGGCTCACACCTGTAATCCCAGCACTTTGGGAGGCCAAGGCAAGTGGGATGACCTTAAGTCAGGAGTTTGAGACCAGCCTGACCAACATGGTAAAACCCTGTCTCTACTGAAAATACAAAAATTAGCAGGGCGTGATGGCGGGCACCTGTAATCCCAGCTACTCAGGAGGCTGAGGAGGGAGAATCACTTGAAACCAGGAGGCAGAGATTGCAGTGAGCCGAGATCATACCACTGCACTCCAGCCTGGGCAACAGAGCAAGACTCTGTTTTAAAAAAAAAAAAAAAAAAAAAAAGATTGGTGTATTTTATTTCATAGATAATCCACAAGAGGGAGATGTAGAATAATTATGTGTAACGAGAACAGCCTCCTAGGGCTTGGCAGGAGTGCTACGGAAACCAGGTGTCATCGGACACTCCCACGGCCCTCTGGCACCAGAGGCAATGCTCCTACCCCATGTTCCCAAACCTACAGAACAACTCCTTATGGTAAAGAGGACACATCACAGGGGACAGTGACAATCTGAACCGTGTTGTTTTTTCTTGTTTTGTTTTGTTTGAGACAGAGTCTCGCTCTGTCGCCAGGCTGGAGTGCAGTGGCGCAATCTGGGCTCAGTGCAACCTCCGCCTCCCGGGTTCAAGAGATTCTCCTGCCTCAGCCTCCTGAGTAGCTGGGATTACAGGCGTGCGCCACCACACCTGGATATTTTTTGTATTTTTAGTAGAGAAGGGGTTTCACCATGTTAGCCAGGACAGTGTCAATTTCTTGAACTTGTGATCCGCCCGCCTGAGCCTCCCAAAGTCCTGGAATTACAGGTGTGAGCCACCCCACCCTGCCTGAACAGTGTTTTAAAATACACAATGTAACAAATTGTTGGCAGAGTAAGTAACACCCAGCAGCTAGAGGAAGGGAGTTGAGAGTACAGGCAAACAGGCGCGACCCCCGGGTGTCCCTGGCACCTATGGCGGGTGCTCCCCCCACTCCTTTGGGACACTTCCTAACGCACTGTTTTTCTTGCTATTCTGTACATTTGATTCTCTAGAATTCTCAGAAAAAGGCTGCCAGCGGCCAATTCACCAGTAAAGAGCTTTTATTGCACAATCATATAATAAACATGACCTCAGAGCTGGCTTTTATCCGGGCTAATGCCCAAAGAGAGGGGACTGTGTTCTGGCCACCTTTGGAGGCTGGGCTTCCTATTGAGGATTGGGAGCCTTCTCCTAAAGACCTAATCAACCAGAAACCAGAAGTGAGTCTTAGAAAATAGCAGGCACCAGCCCTGTAATGTCATCTTTGAAAGAACCAAGAAAATCTTGCCTTTCAAGGATGGAGCTCTCTCCAATGTAGCTCACAGGAAACTAAGCACTGCGTTTCAACGAAGACAGGGGTGTGTGTAAATTCTGGTTTCACCACCTACTAATTGCATGCCCTTGGGGAAGCGAATTAGCCTCATTAAGTTTATTTCCTTTCTTTGTAAAACTGGGAAAATATTACTTACACCATGTGCAAGTTGCTCTAAGACTGAAATGGGCACTAGTAGAGTGGCACATTCCCGGATTCATTTTTAAGAAATGACGGTATACCAGATCAAGAATTTGCTCCCCTCACGCCTAGACTGCCAGCACTTCGGGAGGCCAAGGCGGGCGGATCACGAGGTCAGGAGATCGAGACCATCCTGGCTAACATGGTGAAACCCCGTCTCTACTAAAAAAAAAAATACAAAAAATTAGCCGGGCATGGTGGCGGGCACCTGTAGTCCCAGCCACTTGGGAGACTGAGGCAGGAGAATGGCATGAACCCGGGAGGCAGAGCTTGCAGTGAACTGAGATCGCACCGCTGCACTCCAGCCTGGGTGACAGAGCGAGACTCCGTCTCAAAAAAAAAAAAAAAGAATTTGCTCCATAAATGTTAGTTTGTTTTTCCTTTCCCCTAAACAAGGGAGAAAGGAATTCGTTTCGTGATTACTGTCCCGTAGAAGAGATGGTGATTCATATTGGTTCCCCAGTCACTACAATTATTTGGAGAAAGATATTTCTATGTATATATGTGTATACAAATATACAAACATATATTGTATACAAATAACACATGTATAAATACATGTTAGGTGTGTGTATGTTTATTATACTATATTCCGGTTTGTAAAAGGGATTTGCATAAGTTTAAGAAAAAAACAACAAGACAGTTAAAAATCATGCAGTCATTTAAATACTTTTATTCTCTGCTGGTGGGAGTGCCAATCAGCATAACATTTCTGAAATGTATTTTGTTATATCAAGAGTCTTAAAATGTTTATTTTGGCCACTTCTAGAAATCTATTCTAAGTAAATATTAAAAGTCAAATGAAACTATGTTTTAAAATAGTTTATTACAAACATCATTTTAACAACAAAATATGGAAACTGCCCATATGCTCAACAGTGAAGAGAAAAGGTAAATAAATAATTGGAAATGCTATAATATCCAGTGAAAAATCAGGACACAAATTGTGTATATAGTATGACTGCAACTATGTATAGCTATAGAGACACACACAAAACAGACTGGACATTATCACCTATAATTTCACCGTTTCTTTGTGTGATTCAGTACTTTCAAATTTTAGAAGGTTACTTTCATAAAAGAAAATATAAACATAATATTAAAACAACAACAAAAAATAGTTTCTGTGAGAGAGGTAAGAAAAGATCAATGCCTTCCCAGATGTTGACCCCCCCAGCCTGTTTCAGACCTCATCCTGTTTGAGCTAACTGCGGCATCTGATGCTGCGGACCATTCCTGCTTCCAGCAATCCTTTTCCTGTGATGTCTGCAGCCCTTGGCTGTGCGAGAAGAGTGCTGTGATCGATTGACAATGCCTGCCATGGGCATGGAGAGCAGGAGTGGGGCCATGTGCACTATACACTTGCCATCTTTGTTCTACGTTTCCCTTGATAATTGCCCTCATTCCCATGACATCACTTTTCATGTTCATGCCAATGATTCAAGCCTACATCCCAGCATCTTTCCCTCTCTCACCTCCTTACCCATCTATTCCACTCCATCTAGTCTTGCTATTAGGCGTCTTGAACTTCACAGGTACAAACTGAACTTTCTTCCCTTTCTCTTCCTACTCAGAACCTTCCCCCTTTTCTCTCTTCCCCCATTATGCCAGCACTCACCTGGTTTTTAAAGGTCAAAACCTTTAAAGGTAAAACTTTACATCATTCTTATCTTTTTCCATCTTTTCCTCCCAACCCACTGAGTCATGGAGCCCTAGGTGTGACCTCAGAAATGGGCTCGTATGGAGCCACCCTGGTCCAGCCTCCATCACTTCTGCATCCACCTATTCCAGCAGCTGCCAAACTGCCTTCTCCCTGTTTCTTCCCTCCTCTACTTTTGTTGCCAGGGTTATGATCTCATCATCGAAGTACAGACTCATTTGCCTGCCTGAAGTCCTCTGTTGCCACCCTCGGCCCGCTGCTGGGTCACTTACTGTACTTCTCCCATGGCCCCTGTGCCACCTGCTCCCTTGTCCCACATTGTGGTGGCTCGCGTCCCCGGCTGGGTGCTTTTCTGCCTGCAGTGCCTCTTGTCCTCCTATCCCAGATTTAGTTCGGAGGCCTCTTCTTGGAAACACCGCCCCAGTGTCCACAGTTGGACGTCCTCTGTGTCCTGCCGGGTGTTCCCCGCAGTCCCCCGTTACCTGGGCTGGTGTCCGTGTTCCGTGTCTGGGCCCTAGTGGACTGTGGCTCCTCCAGGAGGCACCTGTGTCCCCACACCTCGGGAGCACATGGGGCTGACAGCGTGCTCCTAAAACAAAATGTTGCTGAGGTTGGGCGCATTGGCTCATGCCTGTAATCCCAGCACTTTGGGAGGCCAAGGCAGGCAGATCATGAGGTCAGGAGTTCGAGATCAGCCTGGCCAAGATGGTGAAACCCCGTCTATACTAAAAACACAAACATTAGCCAGGCGTGGTGGCACACGCCTATCATTCCAGCTAGTTGGGAGGCTGAGGCAGGAGAATCACTTGAACCTGGGAGGCGGAGGTTGCAGTGAGCCGAGATCGTGCCACTGCCCTCCAGCCTGGGTGACAGAGCAAGACTCCATCTCAAAAAACAAAAAACAAAACAACAACGACAAATGTTGCTGAGTGAATGAATGAGAACAGGGCGGGTATTTTCACCAGAACCTGAGAAAACAGTGCCTTTGTATTTGAGTATTCCATGTGTGCGATATTCCTGGTAGTTCGGAAAGACGGGAAGTAGAAGGGATGACACGGTTCCCGTTGTCTAGTCCCGTATTAGATCTTCGGGAGGAAGAACTGTTTTGGGCCTAGGGCCAGTGGCGTTTCCTCATTTGAATCCCCTCGTCCAACACCCTCGCCCCAACCTCCAGGGCCAGCCCAAGGAAGGTCACTCCGGGAAGTGTGGGTGATGATGACAGGGATAAAAACACCAGTCCTGGCTGAGTGTGGTGGCTCCTGCCTGTAATCCCTGCACTTTGGGAGACTGAGGTAGGCGGATCACTTGAGGTCAGGAGTTTGAGATCAGCCTGGCCAACACGGTGAAACCCCGCCTCCGCTAAAAATACAAAAATCAACCAGCTGTGGTGGTTCGAGCCTGTGATCCCAACTACTCTGGAGGCTGAGGCGGGAGAATCGCTTGAACCCAGGAGGTGGAAGTTGCAGTGAGCCGAGATGGTACCACTGCACTCCAGCCTGGGTGACAGAGTGAGACTCCGTCTTAAAAAACAAAACCAAAAACTAAACACTGTTCCTTGTGTTTTAGTCCCTGTCCAGAAGATCCCTGAGATCCCAGCGTCCAAACACCTCCCTCCACCTGATGGGGCCCCCGGGTAGCACAAACGCTCTCCCTGGCAGTCCTTGAAGCTTCCTGGGAGCTGCAAGGAGGTGTGGGGTGGCAGGTGGCAGG